GAGAGAGGGACCACAAGCAGGGGGAGTGGGAGAGGGAGAACCAGACTCCCCGCAGAGCAAGGAGCCCGATGTGGGGCTCGATCCCAGGACGCTGGGATCATGACCTGAGCTGAAGGCAGCCGCTTAACAGACTGAGCCACCCAGGCACCCCTTTCTTTTTTTTTAAAAGTTTATTTTGAAATAATTGTAGTTTCATAGGAAGTTGCAAAGATAATATGGAGAGGTCCCATGTACCCTTTACCTAGTTTCCTTGGAACGTAACTGTAATTCAATTTCAAAACTTGGAAAGTGACAATGGTACAATGTTATGCAATTTGATATCATATATGAGATGTGTAGATTTGTGTCATCACTGCCACAATCAAGGGGCAGAACAGTTTCATTAACACAAACATCTTCAGCATGCCATCTCTTTATAGTCACACCTCCCTCCCCTCTTCTCCATCATCCTGTAATCCTGGCAACTACTAATCTGTTATTCATCCCTATAATTTAATTATTTTGAGAAAGTTATATAAATGGCACCACACAATATGGGACCTTTTGAGATTAACTTTTGTCACTTAACATCATCTTCTACACAGACCACCATGTTTTCTGCAAACTGGCAGTTTTGTTTCTTCCTTTCCCATCTATATGCCTTCTATTTTTTCTTGCTTTATGTCACTGGCTTAAAGTTCTCATACCATGTTTAATGGCAATGGTGAGACTGGATATCATGCCTTTTTCTGATTGTAGGGGTAAGTATTAAGTCTTTCATCATTATGTATGATTCTGGTTACAAACTAAATTTGTAGATGTTCTTTATTAAGTTGAAGTCCTCTAATCCCAGTTTTCTGAGAGTTATTTTTTTAATCATGAAGGGTGTTTCATTTTGTCAACTGTGTTTTCTGTATCAATTGATATGATCATGTGATTTTCTTTTTAAGCGTGTTAATATGATGAATTACATTACTTGATTTGCAAATATTGAGCCAGTTTTGTACCTTGACCATTTGATCATGGAACATAGTTCTTTTCATATATTGTTGAATTCTATTTGCTAATCTCTTGTTAAGGATTTTTACATCTATATTCATGAGGAATAATGGGCTGGAGTTTTGTGTGTGTGTGTGCGTGTGTGTGCGCGCACATGCGTGCATGTATGTGTGTATGCACGTGTGTGAGTGTGCTGTTTTTGTCTGGGTTTGGTATCAGGATAATACTGACGTCATAAAAGGTAAGGTGACTGTGTAGATTAATGATCTGAAAATTTACTTTTTTCTTATGTAAATGTTCAGTGCTATAAAATTCTCTCTCAGCCCTGCTTTAGCTGGGTGCCACAAATTTTTCTTTTTAATACATAAACTTATTAAGTATAATAATTACATCTACCAACATATTTTAATCAATTTCTGTGCTCTCTTCAGTTTATTTATTTATTTTTTTAAAGATTTTATTTATTTATTTGACAGAGAGAGAGATAGTGAGAGCAGGAACACAAGCAGGGGGAGTGGGAGTGGGAGAGGGCGAGGGAGAAGCAGGCTTCCTGCCAAGCAGGGAGCCCGACGTGAGACTCGATCCCAGGACCCTGGGATCATGACCTGAGCTGAAGGCAGATGCTTAACGACTGAGCCACCCAGGCGCCCCTCTTCAGTTTATTATGTTACATTTCTCTGTCTTTTCTTGTTGGTGAAGTACATATTTAAATGTTATCTGAGTACTTACTATCTTGTAGATACAGGCAAAGAGTTAATTTGGGAATGTAAGCAAACTGAAACCATAGGAGAAATAACCCATGAATATCTATTTAATATTTTAAAAGTGGAAATAATTTCATTTGAAGGATTAGGTAACAGTCTTTTGCCTTTTTTATCTACATATGATTACTTTTTAAATATCTTCATAATGCATAATTTGGGAAATGTGTCATTTTGTATAATTATAGTTTTGCCATGCTATCACTGCAGATAAAAAAATTGGGGAATGGACTTAATTATAGTCATTGTCTCTCAAAAACTGTGCATCATTGACCTTCAAATTGTAAGTAAAAATTCATTAGATTTATTTAGCCTTATTTCTACTTAACCATATTGTCAAGCCTGAACATAGATGATCTCAGCTCAAAAACTAATGATGTAATGTATGCTGATTAACATAATAAAATAAAATTAAAAAAAAACCAAAAGCATCAGGACTGGTGGAAAAAAAGAGTGTAAGTATAAAAGGAATGATGTTTTTAGAGCTAGTCCAACTCCTTCCTGAGTTAGGTAAGCAATTTTCTTTTATGTTCACAAACAGCAGGGCTTATATTGTTTTTGTCCTATCCAAAATAATAGATACTGGATTTTCATCTTTGTTAGGTTTTACTGTGCATGTTTATGCCAAAACAAGGTAGGAAGCAAATAGTTCACGTAGTCTAAATATATTACATTTAAAAAAAAAAAAAACTTGATTTGTGTGTTTAAATGCCACATCAGTTTCTTCAATTAAATTTAACAAGTGTTTACCTTCTTACCATGTATAAAAAACTCTGAAAGACACTGGGGTATAAAGACACAACACTATCCTCAGCCATTTTTAGTCATCTCTAATAATTCCAGTTGCTCAAGAAAAAAAGGAAGTAAACCTGGCTTCTTGGTTACCATACACAATTTAAGCACTGACAAGAAATTACATTGATTCTGAAAGAGGGAAATCAAGATTCCATAGTTTTTCCTAAATGGAAATCAGCCTACTTCTAACAAAATGTATTTTTCTGCTACTCAGTGAGACAGATACCCTGGTTTTACAATGATTGTTCACAAGATAATGATTCTTATATTCTTTTGATAGGCAGTAACTTAAACAGATGGTGCTCCGTGCGGGCAGATTGTTTCTTACAAATGTCAATTAAGTCTTAAGGCTCCATGCTCTCTCATGTATGAAGCCAACTCTTATATAACATGAAGAGATGCCTTTCACACCTCAGAGTGCTGGCTGATCAGTAAATACATATATTTTAGAATATCTTGGAATGATTGTATATTTAACCTTGTCTCAAGCAGTGTAAGACCATTTACAGAGATTTGCCATATGAGTCTATAACAACAACAGTAAACCATCACTCTTCAGAGTGGGTGTCTTATTTTGTTTATGGATCTGACCCCTTTTGGGGTACTACAAAACTGCAAAACAAATGCCATTTCCAAAATACACTACGTGTATCAGTAAGAAAAATCAGAGACGGTTTAAAAAAAATTAGCATTGGCACCTAATATTTTGTCTAATATATTGTGGTCCCGAGACTGGAATATAACGCGAGGCTTGGCTTTTCATCTGAAACCAGGATATCTTTTCTTAAAAATCAGAATGCTGCAAACCATAGTTCACAGATGAGAGTTTCAATTTTTGAATGACATAATACATTTATCTTTACTGGGCAGATCTAATCTTATTGCCATGACAACCTTTAAAATGCACATACTTATGTGTGCTCACACACACGCTCACACATTCACAAAAAATACAGTGCCCCTGATAATTTAGTCACCTTAATGGATATATATGCAGGATTTCACATGGCAAATGTCTGACAGAAGAAATTCTAAATGGGGAAAAAATGATGGATATATTCTCAGATTATTCAGATCATGTAAATTATCTAGTTCAGTTAATTCTGACTCTGATCTTAAGCATGAGGTCTGTGAAAGGGAGAAATTTACACTAGAACAGTATGTTAGAAGGATGTCTTAGAAAATCATTCTAGGGACGCCTAAGTGGCTCAGTTATTAAGCGTCTGCCTTCAGCTCAGGTCATGATCCCAGGGTCCTGGGATCGAGCCCCGCATCGGGCTCCCTGCTCAGTGGGAAGCCTGCTTCTCCCTCTCCCGCTCCCCCTGCTTGTGTTCCCTCTCTCGTTGTGTCTCTCTCTGTCAAATAAATAAATAAAATATTTTTTTTAAAAAAGAAAATCATTCTAAAATATTCAGTTTCTATTCTGTAGACACTGGGTACATGTTGGAGATTAGACAGATTAGACTAACCCATTTAATCAGATTAAGCTATCTACTCTTTATTTTATTTTATTTTATTATGTTAATCACCGTACATTACATCATTAGTTTTTGATGTAGTGTTCCATGATTCATTGTTTGTGTGTAACACCCAGTGCTCCATTCACTACATGCCCTCCTTAATACCCATCACCAGGCTAACCCATCCCCCTCTAGAACCCTCAGTTTCTCATAGTCCATAGTCTCTCATGGTTCGTCTCCCCCAGATTAAGCGATCTACTCTTAACTGGTTATCTCCAAAATTTCAATGGCTTCACAAATTAACACATTTCTCCTGCTCATCTCATAGTATAGTGGGTCAATGGGAGGCTCTACTTCATACACTCATTCAGGGATCCAGGGATCCTTTCACCAGATCCTAGGACCTCAGTGTTTTCTACTGAGTCCTCGGCACCTAATTTAATATATGGGAAGTATTTTTTTTTTTTTTTTGTGGAGGCAGGACTGAAAGAGCATTTCTGTTCTGCCCACATTGTGTCAGAACTGATCTACATGACCCTATCTAATCTCAGAGAATGTAGAATAGGTAGTCTGGAAGAAATTGGGAATGGAGGAAAGAGATATGTTGAAGGTGGAGAGGCCAATTAAAAGAGAAATTTGATGGTCCAGTGTAGCATAGTTTGGACCTGGTTATAGAGAGAGCTAAGGCAAAAACTCTCAACTCATATTTCTACACTATTTATTTATTTATGAGAGAGAAGGGTAAAAGGGGAGGGGCAGAGGGGCAGGGAGAGAGAGAATCTTAAGCAGGTTCCATGCCCAGTGTGAAGCCCGACACAGGGCTCGATCCCAGGACCCTGAGATCATCACCTGAGCCGAAATCAAGAGTTGGATGCTTGGGCGCCTGGGTGGCTCAGTCATTAAGCGTCTGCCTTCGGCTCAGGTCATGATTCCAGGGTCCTGGGATCGAGTCCCACATCGGGCTCCCTGCTCTGCGGGAAGCCTGCTTCTCCCTCTCCCGCTCCCCCTGCTTGTGTTCCTGCTCTCGCTATGTCTCTGTCAAAAAAATAAATAAAATCTTTAAAAAAAAAAAAAAAGAGTTGGATGCTTAACCAACTGAGCCATCCAGGCTCCCCTACATACAACATTTAAAAGTGACCACATTTCTAATACAGAGGTACTCTGATATTGTTTAAAATAGGGTTTGTGAAAATTAAGTAAGGCACTCTTTGTATTCGTAAAAAATATATATATTTATAGCCTAAGTTTACCTCTGTTAACATCAGAAGATAATGACAGAGAAGAGAAAAGGCTAAAAATATTAAGCAGCCACTGGGGACAAGAGTGAAATTTTCAGTAATATAAGAACCACCTGTCAAGCCAGGGGGCTTTGAGTATAGAAAATGAGTAAGAGATCTATGCCATGTACAGATGTGGCGTAGAGAATCCCTATGTGAGCAGGGCAGTGCAATAGCTGGGATAAATAGTCTATTTTAATTTTATCACAATTGCATGCATTTGAAAGAATGAAAACACTGAGCAAGGAGCAAGTTTACAGATGGCTTTTATCTCCCAATGAGAAGAGAAGCACCACAACGTGAGCTTATTTGCCTACAAGCTCAAGAAGGTGTTTGGATCAGTCCTACCACTGAGGCCAGTTTCAATTCTTAAAAAAGGCTAAGAAATCCATAAACCAGAGTTGGGGTTCTTTACTACTCACACAATTACTTTTGCCTTTGGCTAATGTTGTAGACACAAAGATAATTATGTGAAGTCTTCCACTTGTCTTTGTCTAAGAACCGAAGAACTGGAGGTGGATATCGACAATAGTATTGTCTGAGACTATTCACTTCATTATTTATTCACTGTGTGACTTGGACACAAAAGTTTACTATCCGAAATAGAAGCACATACAACTGTTAGAGTAGCCGAGAGAACAAATGTCAGTGAAGTTCTCGGCCTAAAATATCGAAGTGCGTCCTTACTTTGCCCAGAAGCTTTAATAGTCTAGAATCTCTGGGAAACTACCCCCAATTCTCTCAGTCTGCATTAGTGAAATGGCTGGTTTGCAAAAACTTGCCAGGAAGCTTCTGTGAATCTCAGATCTATGCATGCAGTTGACTGTACTTACTTCAAGGAATCTGGATTTTCCTCTTCTGCTCTCAAAATCTTGTGCCAGAGCCTCTCTTTAGAAAATCCTAACCTAGAACCAAACAGGGAAGAGGATTCTGTGAAATGTAAACCCCGACTTCTCTCTGAGTCACAAAAAAAGATCTTGGAAGGGGGCAGGTAGTAACGCCAGACTGACTACACGTCCTCGTGACCCAGCATTCTGGCTCTTACCCGCTGATTTCCAACTGGGCTTCTGATATGCACTCTGAAGTTTCCCCTTTGTATTGTCAATCTAATTAGTGGATCTCTGGGTTCCTGAAGAAACTATACAATATCTCCCAACTCACAGATAAAGGAGGTTCTCTGGATATGAGAGAAAGGTAGTAGAAGCCTACTTAAGCAGGAGCCTGCTTAAGATTCTCTCTCTCCCTCCCTCAAAAGCCCATGGTTATATAACTCTAATTTTTACATATCCAATTTTTTTTCCAATACCCAAGCTGAACTTTGGGAAATTCCAAGTTTGGAATGACAGTCTTTGTGAATGGGAAAAAAATATTTATCCGGTAGTAACTCAAAGGTGGTAATAGGTTACTTGGCTAAACTCTTCTATGCTTGAGGCAGAATAAGAATCCAGGCTGGTGCTCTTCCTATACTATTCATTAATCAATTTAACACATGCTTGCTGAGTCCCTACCATGCACTATTACAGTGGAGAATCTGTACACATAGCTCCTATATTCAAAGTACTCGGTTTTGTGGGGAACACAGGCACTGTGGTAATTATGAAGGGAAAGATTAATTATTCTTTATACAGTATTTTGTTTTGTTTTTTCTCTACTGGACTGTGAGTTACTTTAAGGTGGTAAGACTGGCTACCCATACATGGTAGTCCTGGAAAGAACATTTTTTATTCACCTTGATATCCTGGGCACCTATTGCATAACAGGTTCCTAATGATATGCTGAATTGAGTTATTCTACTTGACCTTCCCCCAACACACAACTCAATCTTTATTTATTATTTCAGAGCAAGCTTTCAACCCACAGTTATCTTAGAATTCTTTTTTAACTTTTAACAGCTCCTTAATAAAATATGTCCCATCTGGTTTTATTAACTTCACGTAAAGTGCATAGCGCTTTGCATTTAGTAAGTCTAATGGGTCTTGTTTGTTAGTTTATTGGAATGATGTTTTATTTCCTTTCCACACAATTTAAAGCTGTTATTTATTATTTTTCTCTCCCCCCTCCCAACACTGAGATTTGTATTTTATGTAGTTATTAATTCATGGTTCACATTGCTATCTGTGGAGTCTGTTAATGTAACATCAATAATATGTATTTCAATTGACTTTCTTTCCCTGACAGCAATGCCAGAGTGGCTCTAAGAAAATAAGAAGCAGAAGAATAAGAATAAGAGAGGAGAAAATAATTAAAATTTCCTCTGAAAAGCATGACAATAATCCATTCTTTTGGCAATTTTACACAAGATAAAATAATTTAAATATAATTAAATACATTAAAATATGCATTTATAATTGGTAAAAATGCTTAAGTACTAATTTTTCCTGTATAGTGTGTTTGTTCACTTGAATTGTTTTCACTAAGGGGAAATAAATATTTGGCCCTCCTTGTTCATGCTCATTTATGGCAATTATAGTTTGGCAATTTCATTGTTGAATATCACAGATATAAATGTGAAATAGTGTCAGTATATATATATATATATACCTATATATTTCTTACACTATAATTGTTATAAAGATGGCCATTGGTCCCTAGGTTGTTTATTTCTTCACTGTAAGTTGAGACTTGTTGGCTCAAAAGCCCATGGTTACGAAACTCTAATTTTTACACATCCAGTTTTTTTTCTAATACCCAAATAAATAGATTTTTAGCCATTTAGAGCCTGTCTTCTTTTTGTACCTTGAGAAATCTTACCCACTTCTGCTGGCCATTGATACAATAGAGCCTTGTAGTTATAAGACGTCAAGCTGCTATGGCCTTTGGAGTCCTCTGACCCAGATACTCCCACCCACACTGTTCAGTAGCATCTCCTAGACATGTTAGCCTCCTCTGTCATACCCATCTCCCCCAAGTGTTTCCTTGTCCTCCTTGCTATATGCCTCTGGATAATCTCATGCTCTGAGGGACTTCTCTCTTATGCAACTCTGTCAAGTGCAGCCCCAGAAAGCTTGTGTGTGCTACATTACATCTTTTTCCTTGATCTGCCACCAAATTCTTCCATCCCCTACAGTATTTATTACTACAATACTTATATTTAAATATAAAGATTATGTAGCCTACTCAGTCATCCTGATAACTTTATTTTAATGGAAATTAGATACAAACCCTGTTATTAAAACAAATATATAATTTTTAAAAATAACGTGATTTATAATCAGCTTTGTACTGTTACTCATTTATTTAAATTTTTAAAAAGGATTTTATTTATTTGAGAGTGAGACAGAGCACGAGTGGGGGTAGGGGCAGAGGGAGAGGGAGAAGCAGACTCCCCACTGAGCACAGAGCCTGAGGCAGGGCTCGATCCCAGGACCCCGAGATCATGACCTGAGCTGAAGTCAGATGCTCAACTGACTGAGCCACCCATGTGCCCCTGTACTGTTACTTAAATGAATACAGAAGAGTCTTTTTTATATGGCATGATCCATAATTGCTTGAGTAACCAAAAAAATTGGCTCTTCTATTAAAATAATACACACACAATTAAACATTTTAACTTAAAGCACTTACATGTACTTTATTCATTTATATTTAGGTAGAGAGCTGAGACATCTTTTTTAATACATTTCTACTAATTGCAGTTCATTTTGTATTTCTTATGCCACAGTCTTAAAACATAATCAATAATTTTCTGTTTCTGTTTCATTCAAGCGGAGTGAGAACTTGGACACTTATGAGGTAATCATGGGTAGAATCCTTCCGGGTGTTTATAAGTTTTACTCTCATTCTTCTATAGTTGCCTCAGCTATAACTAATTAATTTAAAATCAATTCTGTTATATGACTTCCTTTCCAAACATTATAACTGGTCTTACATATAATGACTCTGAACTTTTCAAACTCCTATTTCATTGATCTGTATAATATCTGAATAAATTACTTAATAAGCAACCAAAACTAGATAAAAAGATTTGGAAATTATCATAGCTGACTCATGGTTGGTCAATTTAAATGGTGGATTTTGGTAATTTAAATGTGGAAGCAAAATTAGAGGTGGCCTGTTGCCCTAGGAGTAAACCCTACCAATAAGCATTTGGAGTTAGCAGGTTTCCTACAGTGGATTGAGATTAGCCTGTTAACTATGAACACCACTGAATAGTGAATTGTATCTCCCTAAAATTGAAGCTGTAATGCTTAATGTGACTGTATTTGGAGACATGCCCTGTCAAAAAGGTAATTAAAGTTAAATGAGATCATGGGGGGGGATGGCTAATCCAACAGGGCTGGTGTCATTAAAAGAAGAGGAAGAGATGGGGCACTTCGCTGGCTCAGTTGGTAGAGTGGGCGACTACTGACCTTGGAGTTGTGAGTTCAAGCCCCACGCTGGGTGTAGAGACTACTTAAAAAAAAAAAAAAAAAAGAGGAAGAGACGCTAGTTGTTCAGGTACATGGGCAGCTGTCTTCAAGCCAAGAAGGGAGGCTTCACGAGAAACCAACTCTGCCAGCAACTTGATCTTGAATTTCCAGCCGCCCCCCCCCCCGCCCCCCCCCCCGCCGCCCAGAAGTGTGACAAAATAAATTTCTGTTGGTTAAGCCATTCAGACTGTGGTATTTTGTTATGGCAGCCCTAGAAAACAGATACAGACACTGAGAGAAAGTATGATTTACATGGGAATGGTTCTTGTTAAGTAGCTGAGTTCAAATAAGTTTCTATTGCATTAGTAAGTATGTCAATATGGTGAACTGCTTGTCAGTGCTCACTGCCACTCCTTTTTAGGCATGACATTCTCATTCCTGGATTTTTATTCTTGTCCTTCAGATTGTCTTCAATTCATATGGTTAGGAAATATATCTGGGAAATGTTATCTGCACGCTTGCATATCCAATATCTTTCTGCTGCCTTCACACAAGAATTGAGAGTCTTCCTGGAAATAGAATTCATGGATAACTTCTTCAAAGTTTGGTAAATATTGTCTCACAGGCCCCTGGCATTTAGTGTTGCAGAGCAATCTGGGCCAATTGTATCTTATTTCTGGGCACATTATTATTTTTTTCCCTAGATGGCTGTAGGATTATTTCTTTACCTTTTAACTGTGACAATTCCACTAGCTATATTTTGATATTGCTTTCTTTTTATTGATTTCCTGAAATATAGCAGTTACTCTCAGATTTCAGAATGACGTTTTATTAGATGAAGAAACTTTCCCATTCTTTAATTATTGATTTTCCTCCATGTATTCTCATGTACTTTGATTAAACTTTACCAATTTGTTTTCCATATAGCTTGTTTTCTTCTCATTTTAATCCTTTTCTCTGTTTTAGAAGAATTTCTCACATTTTTCAACATCTTTGATTTTTTGTAGTATCTAATATGCCTTACACTTCATTATTATGTAAAATCACAGATCATAATTTAGAAATGAATAAAATGTGTGCAGTTATTCTTTTTCATAACTTCCCATTTTACTGGTAATTTGTTCTGGATTTAAATGTTCAGTGCCTCTGTGTAAACATAAAGGAGATTATCTAAATTTTTTTGTTGTTCTTGTAGTTTATTTCAAAGAAAAGCAACTCATAATCTTTACAGAAGTAAAGATTACATCCTTTGAAATTCAGAATTTCTTCATAGGCTATGATGTTTCTGTTTTTACTTATTCCTATAGGGGACAATGTATCCCAGCTCTGCCACTCACTAGCTGAGTGATCTTTGACAAATTATCTTAACTCTTTGTACCTAAATGTCCGTATCTATAAAACAGGGTTGGTAATGATAGTGTTCATCTCACAGAGTTATTTTAAAAATTGTTTATCAATATATTTTTAGTAATCTTCTTAGCTAAGAAAGTGCTTGGCATACAGTAGAAATGCACTAACCATGACAATGAAATGAAAGAACAAGATAAGTTGGTTTCCAGGAGAAAACATTATTCTTTCTATCCATCGCTCCCTCTAACTTGCTCTTTAGGGGTAGTCCTTTTTCACCAGTGCAAGTCCTGTGACTTTTCTGGTCCCTCTCTGATAGTTAAAACAATTCTCTGGCAATCTCAATCACAGAATCTCATTGTCAGATCTAAGATGTTTATAAGTGCATTGAAAGTTAAATCTCCTTTCTCCTGGTCTGAGCCTGCTTCAGGCTTGATGTCCATTGTGGGTAAGGTGTATTGTCAGCATCTTTCATATTTCCTGAGCCTTGTGCTCTTCCTCCCCGCCTCCTTACTCATTGGCTCAATTTCTGATCCTTCCAGTTTAGGACTATGGAGGGTGAGTGAGGAGAACTAACATGCAGAAGACATCTCTACTCACTAGTTGATTCTAACATGACCTGGTATTGGAGTGTTCTGGGCAGACAGATGTTCAAAGCTAACTTAATTTTTTGGCAAGCGTTTTGGGGTCCTTTAAAGACTGCCATGGGGACTGCTGTACCGCAAGTTTCACTGGCTTGGATGTGGAACACACTCTAACCCTCTCTGGACCTCCCACCCCTCCTTAGAACCTGGAGCTCAGTAGGTCCCTGCACTCTGTCAATTCAGAACCATTTAGAGTCAGTGGTCCTTTAAGACAAGTCAAGGTGGGCGACCTTCCAGTGCATCCTGGAAACTCCCCATCCTTGCCTTGCCAAACACGGCCGGAGAAAGGTCTCGGGGTCTATAGTGAGGGCACTGTAACAATCTGCCCCCACCCTCCAGCCCTCATCCTGAGTTCCTGAAAGAGAGAGGGTTTTAATAACTAACATACCTACTATGAGAGACAGCAGCTGTTTGGGACCCATAACAATCCCAAACGCCAAAAACAAAGAGAAGTATTGTTTTCCTCTATCAGGGCCATTGTGCAGCTTTGGCATTTTCTGTTGTCTGGAGCTTCGGTGGTGGAGCCTTACAGGAGAGGGTGCTGTCTGGAAGAAGATGGTGAAGGTTCTGATATTCGATCTTGAAAGCATCGGTCAGGAGATGATTTCAGCAGACAGGAGATAAACAGCAGTCATGCCTGGAAAAATGGAGTATGCAGGGTTGAAGCAGTCGTATTTCAGCTGCTGTGGTCACCCGAGAGGCAATGACATGTGAAAAATGCAGGGGTGCCAGGGGGTAGTAGTGGCACCATGGCTGAGAGGCTACAATGCCCAACAAAGGCAGAGCATTAAACGGACACTACTCTAGTCCTGAGAAGAGTTACCCTCAGGGACTTCTATGTTTATTTTGGGAGACTGTGAAATCGCTATATATTCACCTTTGTTCAGCTGACCCAGCTACCCCAAGTGAGTCATTAATACTATCATTATTTTTTAAAGATTTTATTTATCTATTTGTCAGAGAGAGAGAGCAACAAGCAGGGGGAGCAGCAGAGATAGGGAGAAGTCTGATACCAAACCCACTGAGAGTTTTGGAAAGTAAGAATGAAAGTCACAATGAGAGATTACTGCGGTGGTAAAACTGAAAAAGAGTGATAGCACCAGCTTGGGCAGTGATGGGCAAAATGGTACTTCCTGAACTTGCCATGGGAAAAGTGAGCTTGAGTGGCTTCTTGACAGCATAGTAAGAATAAAAAAATACATATACCTTTTGATCTGGCAATTCCACTTCTGGAAATGTATGCTACGGAAAAAAAAGAGCAAAAATACTTCAAGACTGATTATTATGGTATCTCTGTAGTGGGAAACACTGGAAATAAAGTAAATGCTCTTTAATAGGGAAATGGCTAAATATATTTTAATATATAACTTGAAATTATCCTGCCATAGGTCTGTAACATTCGGCTTGCAAAATAATGTTCAAAATTACATGAAGAAAATCTCCCTAGGGCCAGAGATAAGACTATAAAGATTACCCCTGGCCATCTGACAGCACTGAGCTCTCGCCTCCCCTAACCTCTTCTAGTACATGATCATCTAGAGTTTGGGGACACGCTTCCTTATATCTCTAGCCTAGATATTTTAATGTATATATCTTGTCTCCTTAGCCCTTTGATGTTTTATGTTTTCACTTTACAATGTAAAGGCTTTCTCTGGTGCATAGTAGGCAGACAGGAAAGCTTTTTTGATTGATCAGTTGTCTTCCTGAGTGAAACTTGTTAATGGATGACAGGCTCCTAGGCCTTGGTGTTTGTCAGTAAGACCGTTTCTTATTCTTGTCCACTGTGTACTCAGGGATACAGCTACTCTATTCAATTATTCAATCATTTTGCTGAAAACTTGGAGAGTCTATTTGTTACAGAACATAATAAAAATGTAAAGCCATTGCCATTAATAAATAACATAACATACATGTCTGTTTCCCAGCAGCAAGCAGACTGAGTATTCATGTTGTTCAAGATTAAGTAAATCACCACAGACAAGGAAAATTACGCCATTGCTTATGCGATCAGATCAAAACAGTCATTTTCTTCACCAGTGATTCCTATTAAATGAATTGTATGCTAACAGTTTCCAATAATGAGTTGGGTTTAATAAATTATGTACTCTTCATAACTTTTTAATGTACATTCTTCCAACACTGGCCTGTCCCCAGAAGGGAATTTATCAAACGGCTTCTGCACATCAGAAATAAAAGCAAAATGAATGAAATTGGAGTGGTTGAAGCATAACTAGTGGTAATGGGATTGGTTTTGCTTCACTTTCTCTGTCACCCACCAGACATGAAAAATCTCCCACGGGTGGTTCAGTGTTATCTTTTCTCCCTGTTTTTCCCATAAGTATCAGATATTGGCTACAGACCACAACAGGATAGTGTTTGTGATTGATCTGTGTACTGCTCTATTGCCCCCAAAACTTTATTTCTAAAATATGGTATGTAGAATGAGGCTGCTGAGAATATCCAAACACAGACACACACACACACTCACACACACACACATCTCTAAAGATGTACAGAAGAAACCACAGCTTATTCAACAATTCCTCTTGATCTTTAATCTTCATAGTGTAGTAAAGAAACATTAAAAATAAAACAAATCAAAAGTGATATTAAAGATACTTTTTAGGTTTTGACAAACCATCTAGAGAAAGTAAGTTCCAATGGCTAAGATTCACTTAATAAACATAACATTCACTTTTGCATTCTAAACCAAATTTTGAAAATCACCCTTTTTTATAATCTACTGTATCAAATACTCAGTCTGATTGAACAGACTTTTTTCCATTCAAAAATAAACTTGATCTTTGGGAAGATACTACATATTAATCCCATCTATTTTGTATCTCTTTCCAGTATGTAGACAGGATATCCCTAATTTTATTGGAGTAGGAAAAAGGATTCTTTGTGGACTATATATAAGGGGAAAAATTTATCTTTCAAAGCATAACACTATTTTTAAGCAAGCTCTACTGCCCAATGTGGGGCTTGAACTCATGACCCTGAGATCAAGAGTCGCATGCTCCCCTAACTGAGCCAGCCATGCGCCCCATCAAAGCAAGATACTCTTTTTTTTTTAATGTTTTTTTTTTTTTATTTATTTATTCATGAAAGTCAGAGAGAGAGAGGCAGAGGCAGAGGGAGAAGCAGGCTCCCCGCCTAGCAGGGAGCCCGAAGCGGGACTCAATCCCAGAACCCTGGGATCATGACCTGAGCCGAAGGCAGACGCTTAACCATCTGAGCCACCCAGGCGCCCCAAAGCAAGATACTCTTAAGGTAGAGCACTTTTTAGTCGAGTAGGTGGTATAGCAGATGATTTTTGTGCTTACTGCCCCACATCATTAAGCAAATACTGATTTTTTAAAAAAAGTTATATCATAATTGTTAAAGAAAAATTAGAGATAATACTATGTGTATGCCAAACCTCTTTCTTCTTCCTCCTGACACATGAATTGACTACATTTCCCAATTGATTAGGTGGGGTTACATGACAGAGGTCCAGGTATTGGAATGTGTGTGTCTCTTTGTTTCCTCATTACCTCTTTTGTCCCCATTATATGCCTGCATATAAATGAGGTGGAACCACACTGGTCTACGGATGGCTGCATGGAGCACAGACCTCTGCTGACTCAAACTTGACCGTAAGGTGAGCAAGAAACGAATTTCTATTGGCTTAAGCCACTGAAATCTTGGATGTTTGTTACTGCAGCTAGCTCTTCTGAGTAATATATTATGTGCCATATATGATGTTTCAGATGTAACATGAAGCCCAACTTAAAGTGACCTAAGCAATAAGGACATTTACAATCTCACAAAACAAGAAGTCTAAAGTTGATTAAATTCCAGTGTGATTAACTCAGCGACTGAATAAAATCATGAAGGATCCAGATTTTTCCATTTTTCACTCTGCAGCTTCTTAGGCTGGCTCACCTTTTGGTCACAAAACAGCTCCTACAGTTCCAGACATTACACAGAGATGATAACTGCCAGAAGTGGTAAAAAGACATTTCCCCTCTTGTCTCTTTTTTAAGAACAAAGAAACCTTTCCCACAAGCCTTCCTGCAGACTTTTTCTCATGTCTCATTTCCCAGAACTGAGTCAGTCACATGCTTTTTTCTAAACCAATCACTTGAAAGGGCAATAGTGTAGACTAATCAAGACACAGCCCTTGGGAACTTGTCTTTTCTGAAATACGTGGTCAGTAATACCTGAATGAAAGCAGTATTCTTTTAGCAAAGAAGAAAAGAGGGACAGCTTTTAGGTAACCAGCAGTATATATTCAGATCTTTTAAGGTTTATTAGAGTCAAATACTGTGGAAAATCTCAATCTATTCTTAGGTAATATAACAATGCACTAATTTAAGGGAGGTGCTTAAATAATAAAAAATAGAATTGACTATACATTTCATATATTCAAAGTCAGGTGGTATTCAACTTCTGTAGTACTAAAGGTACATATTTAATCTTATCAGAGGATTGTAGGTGCTGTTGCTAGCAACTTCGACACTGTGTAAGGACATGATAGCTAAGCATTTTTTAAAAAGTGTGGACAGATGTGGAAAACGGAAACTGTATTTGTTCAAATCTTCTTATTGAGAAAGCCAGAGGGATGAATACATTTACTCACTTTTGTTTATGACTGCATAAATAACATAATATATATTTTAGTCATAGGAATTAAATGAACTAGGTCAAGAAGGCAATTTAGAATTACTGAGACCAACACATATCACAGACAAGGAAATTGAATTCTGTCATGATGAAGTGACTTGTACCAGGTCATATAAAAAAGTCCAGTCCTTGGCAACACAGGAACCACAATAGAAATTTATCTATGTTCAGTCTGGGGTTCTTTCTAATGCAGGATAGTACTCTTAATGCACAAGTATCACTTAGGAAAGTGGCACTTAAAAGAGGAATGCATTACACATGTGCAAACCAGCATACTACGCAATTCTTAAAATAATGATGATAGTTAAATGTATTGAGCTTTCCCTGAGCTCTGCACTGAATTTTCTACATTGCATTAGTTCATTTATTTGTAACAACAACCCTATGATGGAAGTATTATTAATGCCCCATTTCTTATGTAAGATGAGCTTTCAGAGAAGGATAATCTATTTTATCATTCAGGATCCTTTTCCCATTTTTTGTTGTTGTGGACCTTTGGGTTAACAAATACTGGTATAATTTGAAACAATAAAAAATCAGGCAGATGTCACCTTTTTATCTTTGTGTGGCATAGGAGCCAGAGAGAAAGGCAGCCCAGTACCTTAATCCAGTCTTTTTATTTTTTAAATTGATTTTTAAAAATATATTTTATTTACTCTTTTAAGTAAGCTCTATGCCCATCATGGGGCTTGAACTCATGACCCTGAGATCAAGAGTCACATGCTCTACTGACTGAGCCAACAAGGCACCCCCAAGCCAGTCTCAAAAACAGGTATTTTTTGAGTCTCACAAGAAGCACCTTTTATCAAATACAAAATTACACAGTCTTTCAATATGACTCTTTTTCAACCCTGAGCCCACCCATACAAGCCAGTTGGAGGAAACATTTTTAGGGGATTCAGGATTAAATAGGTTGGCCTTGCAATCTTCAATATTTGTTTGGGAAGGTCCTCTTTCATTGTTTCCTTATGAATACTTGGATTTTTTTAATCATCAGCATCCATGAAGGATCTAGGATTGAGTTGCATCTGCCATGTTTGGTATCAATACTGATCAGCAGGACAACACCTAGTACATATCCAGCAAGGCCAAGATTATATGCAATCTAAGGCAACACAATACGAAAAGAGTGTACCTTCTTGGTGGCTGAAGACCAATGTCTAGCTGCTGGTTAAACTACACTTAACACATCAATCACCTGCTTTAATCACATCTGGTTTCATTGGGTTTATTTAATGAATGAGCACTGCTTTCCTCCTTTCTTAGCTTTTGTGACTGATAGAAAAGAACAAATCAAACTTTTTGTCCTGCTGGTTGTATCTCTCACCTACCCATGAGAAGGGTTAGATTGATGGCCTAATGGAATTTTAGAGAATTTTTCCAGGTGGTCCAGAATATATGCCTCAGTGGAAATGTAAACAATCTCAAATTTCTCCCATGCTGGTGCAACATATTCTAAAGAATGCTTCAATTTCCATTTATATGGGAAATTTGTTTTATTTATTTGTTTATTTATTTGAGAGAGGGCACGAGAAATTTGTTTGAGAAAGAGAGGGCACGAGAGAGTGTGAGCGAGGGGAGGGGCAGAGGGGATGGGAGAGAGAGAATCTCAAGCAGATTCTTTGCTTAGTGCAGAGCCCAAAGCAGGGCTCAGTCTCATGACCCTGAGACCATGACCTAAGCTAAAACAAAGAGTCAGACACTTAACAGACTGAGCCACCCAGATGCTCCTGGGAAAATCTTTTTTAATGAAATAGCCTTGAACATGACCCATTCCAAAAAAGTTCTGTTTTGTTCTGGGAGTAGCTATCATTATTTTTTGTACAAGAATAACTATCCTAAAATCTTTAGGTAGATTTTGGAAAGATGGGTATCCCAGCCTGCCCTAGTGAGGGGCTGCATGATGGTAGAATTTCAGCTTTGGTCATTAAATCTCAGCAAATAAAATCCAATTTTTATTTGTTCATCAAATGTAGGTATATATAAATATGTTTGTGAAAGTGTTATGTGTGAAAAATAGCTACTCAATGACCTGTTTGGTTTAATCATTTGTGTGTGCATGGCTACACAAAATGATCATTAATGAATGTAAAAGGAGAAATAAACTAGAAAAATTTAGAATCATTATTACATATACTAATACTTAATAAATGGTATATATTGAGTCTCTGAAAATCTTAGTGAGAGGGCAATGATATTTGCAGAAGAAGGATGCAAAATAGAAAATGTCTTTTCCATATAAGCAACAGTGGTGTGGGTGCTTATATTTTTGGCTTCCTGAGTCACTGTGGATATAAAATACTAACAACAAAGTCCTTGGTATTGTGCTTCAAATGACCATGGTTATTTATTTCCATTTTTCATAAAATTCTTAATTGAAAATGAGAAACATCAGAATGAATATATTGGCTTTCTCATGGACTAGTTTATAATTTTTAGTCACTTTAGATAACCAAAATTTAATTGGGTTTTTATTGATTTATGTGCATCAAATCTTTACTCATGGCTATTTAGATTTGTGTGTATGTGCGTGTGTGCAAAATAATTATTTCTACAAACATATAGACTCTGGTATTGTGAAAAATTATTAAATTATAAGAATTAATCAGGGAAGAGCTCAGAAAATTAATATTGAATTACAGAGTATTGGTTAACAAGAGGCTTTAAGAAGCTACACTGTTAATTCTGTTGTCTCCAAATCATCCAAAACAGATGATTCATCTTTCAAGATTTCCAGAGAACAGTGGATTCCATAAGCTTCCTGGATAACCTCTTCCTGTATTAAATAACCATAGAAATGAGAAGTATTTTTCTTTATTTTACTTAATTTCTATGAGGTACAATTAAAATGTTTGCTTCCTTTTCTGATTTCACTGGAGATGAAGAAAGCTGGTCACAAAACACCATTCAAATGTAAGACCACATTTGTCTCGTTCATCACTGTGTCACCTGTTATAGTAAGCGACATGTAGTAGTAGGTGCTTGATAAATATTTGTTGGAAATATAAATTAAAAAATAAAGCCCTTATTTAAGTTAATTTTCAATATTTTTTCCTTCAAGCCAAATAACCTCAGATCTTGTACGAACCTACAATACCATATTGACAATTCAGACGTTCCAAAATCTTGTATAAGAGAAAATTTTAAAACAAAAACCTCACGTGAGCTCATTTTTCCATGGCAAACTTTGATCTGAAGTGACATGAGGATATTTATAGCCTTTCTTTATTGCAGTTGGTGTGCATATTCCTATATTTTGTTGTAGAAATATTAATGTAATGCTGCCCCTGACCCTACCAGGGTGTTATATAACATAAGGTACATGTACTGTCCCTCCACACCTCTCTGAAATTCTATACATATCCACCTATAGCCTCAAAACCTTAAGAAATGGTGGAAATGAATTACTATTATCTCACTTTTTAAATTATTTTAGACAACTGTTCATAAGTTTCCTCCTATATAATGCTCAACTAAGATGTCAATCAATACACACAGATCAACATTAACGTCTCTTGTTTTTCTTATAATAAAGGTACATGTCAGACTTTTTCTAAGGTTTCCACATCTCTGCTCTTCAACCCAGAGGAACCACTTATAAGAAGGGGCAATTCAGTTTCTATGAACCTCCAGTTTTGACCTCTCTTTTCGGAGTGCTAACAAGGATGCCAATTAGTGTCAGTTTGGGTAGCAAAGTTTTCTGATTTTGACATAGTATTATTTTTAAAGAAATGGAGTGTCTCACTTACTCATCTCACATAGAATTGTGATGAGGAAGCTGTAATGATTTTGTATTCACCTCCAATATAGACAAAGCAAACTAATGATCTTAAACTCAAAATCTCTTAAATTCTGTATTTGATGCCTTGATTTATTGTTCTTGGTCGGCAGATACTTTCTAAATGCTGGCATACCTCCCTACTATGTATTTATTATTGTAATATTTGGGAAAACATTTAGCACATTCATGCAATTAAAACAAAGTTGCTCTAATGCAAACAGGATGTTAAAAACCAAAGTTTACATAGAAGATGTACTACAAAATTAGAGTAGAAAAAAAATGATGGAAGTGTAAGTTCAGTGAATTGAGTTAGCCTTGCATGTAGACCAAACAGTTTCTTTATGGTAACTTCTGTAAGAAATACACATATTTTACCCCCACCCCCACCACACACAAACACACACATTCATGCAGAAAGAAATAATTTAAGAACCACATAGATTTCTCCACTTTACTGTGTGAGCTTGGATGAGTCACTTGAAATCTTTAGCTTCTTCATTTGTAAAAAGAAAATAATAGTACCTGCTACTTTGAGCTGCTGAAATATTTAATGTTTAGTAGGCACATAACAAGCATTAAGTGATGGGAAATACAATAATAATGCTAGTGGTTGTTACCTGGATTTCCACTGTACTTGTAATTATTATAAAATAAAGATCTTCTCTGAGGATAATTTTTGGACTCTTAACTTACGTATTCTCCAGTCTACATCTCTGATTCCTTGGATATATGTTTTCATTTGAAGCATTTGAGTTGAAGCACATCTGGTATGTGAGAAGATTTAGAAGGACAGAATACTTCAGATAGGAAAAAGCAGAAATCCTGGAACAGCTGGGCGACTAAAGAAAAGCTTATCGACTAAATGTTACCAACTTTAGCTATGCTATTATGGCCTCATAATAAGAATGTTATCAATGCTAGAAATTGCTGTTATTTTCTTATTAATAGATTTTCATGAATGGTATTTGCTAACATTTGAATGTTCAGTTTTTTTTTACCTTTTTGTTTTATTTAATTTTTTAAAGATTTATTTATTTACTTTAGAGAGAAAGAGAGAGACCACGCACACAGTGGGGGGGGAGGGGCAGAGAGAGGGACAGAGTCTCAGACTCCCTGCTGAGCGTGCAGACTGATGCAGGGGTCAATCTCATGACCCTGAGATCATGACCTGAGCAAAATCAAGAGTCAGACATTTAACTGACTGAACCACCTAGGCACCCCTGAATATCTACAGTTTTAAATCATAGTTGAAATAGTTTTCAAAAATTTCCTTCACCCATAAAACTTGTTTGGTTTACATATTACCATTGGTCTGATCAATTGTGTAAAAGAATGAAAACATTTGCTTACATACAGTTATTTCTTTTTAAACAGAAATTCTCATTATATTCATCTCAGCCAAATCAGAAACATAGTACATAATCAACTTCTTGTTTCTATTGTCCTATTAGTTTTGGACATGGCCCTTTTTTAGCTTGCCCCTTTTTAAAAACCAACATCTATACAAAACATAATCATAAATGACACACACACACACAAAATATATATATATATTTTTTTTTTAAGATTTTATTTATTTAACAGAGAGAGACATAGTGAGAGAGGGAACACAAGCAGGGGGAGTGGGAAAGGGAGAAGCAGGCTTCCCGCAGAGCAGGGAGTCCGATGCGGGGCTCGATCCCAGGACCCTGGGATCATGACCTGAGCCGAAGGCAGACGCTTAACGACTGAGCCACCCAGGCGCCCCAACACAAAATATATTTTAAGATATAAAGAGTAATGCATTTTAGCAAAACTCTGAAAATCAAAATTATGGGTTACAATTAATATTACAAGTACTGCAATGGGGATGAGAGTTTCATTACATTCTATCAGTCTTTAGTAACAGTAATTTAGGTTGAGATGCTGGATCTCCAACACACACACACACACACACACACACACACACACGTGCCTAGCTGCTTTGCTTCTCTGAGCATGGAAGATTAGCACATTCTTTCCTTTTGAGTAAAGCTATCAAACATCTAAGCAATATCCTCTTTTGGACAAATGAAGCAGATGGGTGGCTGTATGCATAATGGTTCAACAGGCTTTATTGTAAATATGTAAATATGAGTATAAGCCTTGGCTCATTTCTTACTAATTTAGGCATATTACTTAACTGTGTTATGACTTAGTGCCCTTACTTCCAAAATGGGGACAATAATCTTTCATCAGAGAGTTGTTATGAAAACTAAATCAATCAATACTGTCATAGCCAAAGTTCTTGGCAGAAACTAAGAAATACATATATTTTAGCTTAAGTCTTGAATAGTCAGACAGCTAACAGACATAGCAAAAAATCATGAGTACACTAAGAAACTCTCAAAGTCCAGGCTGAGATAGAAGATAAGGAAGCTAAGGGACAGATCTCTACAGAGGGGGTTTTAGGGAATAGCAAAGTCCTGTGACTGTCAGGGTGGTTAGATTACTGCCCCCTAGTGGGAAAGGTGTACTATTTCTGGCCATGTTGAGAAGGACACAAATCTAGGACAGTCTGCCATTAGTCCTCAGTGAATTAGCCCCAGGTTCATAATCTTTCCATCCTTTCTGACCCCTATCATCAGCCCAAGTGATTTCAGTCTCTGCACTGAAGACATCAGGATGAAGATGTCTGTATCCCATCCTGTGCTCAACTGTTCCTTACATCCTGTTATTATCCTAATTGGCTCCACCTCTACATAGAAATGAAATGCTCTTCTCTCACTACTGAAAAAACTTTTATGTAAGTATGATATTTGAGTTGATTTCTCAGGACAAGTAGGAAATAGATATTCGGGAATTAAGGAGTCTTTCCCTTTCATGAATCCTGGAATACCATGCTGAAATTTCTCAGCAAATATATATACATCGTTGCTATTCCTCGGAAGAAGGAACAATGAAGATGGGCTATGGCATTCTAAGTGGCTAGGCAGCCACTTACAGTAATGATAACCATTCCGACCGAGGGCTTTAGTTCCAGCCACCAGCGAGAAGCAATGGATAGCGGTTTTGATCTTTGTCCTTCAACACAGTTTATGGCTCCAGAAGGAGTGCTTCCTTGGATGTCCCATTAACAAAAACAACATTGAGCAGAGTCATTAACATGTTATTTTGCTTTGGGAAAGGAATATACTGGACATTTTCATTAGTGTAAAGTATAGCATTATGTTTAACTCTCTTTCCCTCAATATTTAGGAGGACCATTTGGCACATTTTGCATTTGCCATGCCAATTATCAATTTCTTCTTTGTTTTTTGTTTGTGTCTGGTAAATACATCATAATATATTCATACTGTTAACTTGATGTGTGCTCTCTAATCACCATAGATCCAAAATATGTACTTTGGAATTTGTTTTTATAAATTGAAACTTTGTTCCAATGATTAGGTAAAGATGTCAGTGATTTAGGGAGATATGTGCAATTTTTAAATTCACAGATGACTCTTTTCTTTCTGAGCAGAGCTGTATGACAGCTGAGACTGAAAAAAATTTCTCCTCAATAAGAATCTCATTGCAGAAGACTGATAACAGTCCCCACTTGTAAAGAATGGGTAGCCTGAAAATAACAATGACCACCTTGGCGCTTTAAAACCATACAATATCCTGTCGACAACATAGTATTTCTGCCGAAGTGACCATCTGCTTAAGCATGTCAGAAAAACAACTCAATGCAACTTTCAAAATCAGAATGTCATGACTCCAGGATTATGTTTTAAATGATTCAAGGGTAAATTAAATTAATAATACAGAGAAAATGCATAAGAATTATTAGTGAGTTGGGATTCCTGTCATTCAATGAAGTACATTGAATGATAGTTTGGAAGGCTTAAAAATGGCTTAACTTTTTCAGATTATGTAATAATCTCAATCCTTGACATAAATATAAATTACTTTTATTTCCTCTCTCATAATAACTATATATATAATTTTCCTATTGGCATTTAGACCTTTAATGAACTTTTTTACTCTAAGAGACCTGGTGACTTGATTTACTTTTAAAATAGTATCTTCTCTGTGCTGATTTATATAAATTTTTAAAAATTCCCCAAATTAAAAATATTTTGTAGATGAGTGTAAATGTAAATTGTGAAAATCCTGATTAAAATACCTTTGACTAACAAATTCTTACTCAAAATGACACAAATACCTATTGGCATACCTAAAAATAGACCAAAAAAACCCAAGATAAGAATATACATTAATATTAAATTCTATGAATCACAGACAATATACTGCTAAGCTCTGGGAGAAATACTAATATGAGATCCATGGAACAAGATTTAGAAAATCAAAAATAAAATGGGAGTGTATCAATAATTTTTTTCTCATAGAGCATAAAAGTATGTCTACTTGACAATAGGTTTTCAGATACTTCATTGGTTTAGAAAAGGAAATATTTAATCTCAGACCAGCAGAGTCTTAATATATAAAAATCAAATAAACACTAGAAATTGGGTTATAATTCATGTACATTGATCTACCGGCTGCAGATTTAAGGTGGGGTTTCAACTAGCCCCAAAATAGACAAGTAAGTAGAGTCAAGGGCAGGCCCTGTCCACTATATTTTGTCAAATATCAGATTTTGCTAGGTGTCTCATGACATCTATGGGGAAATTACCATAGGTGAAAGGAAAGAGGAAATTGTCCTGAAGACTCAGAGGAAATATATATCTCTAAAATTTATTATAGGAACTGGAAAAATATTTTTGAAATTTTGCCCATTATGATATAGGAGCTAAAGCTATAAAGACAGACCAGACCAATATGACATTAAAGGCAGCTGAGTTTTTTTTTTTTTTTAATTTTATTTATTTATTCATGAGAGACAGAGATTGAGAGAGAGGCAGGGGGAGAAGCAGGCTCCCAAGGAGCACGGAGCCCGATGCAGGACTCGATCCCAGGACGCTGGGATCATGACCTGAGCCGAAGGCAGATGCTTAACCATCTGAGCCACCCAGGCGCCCGAAGGCAGCTGAGTTTTAAGAACTATTGGTTGAGATTAAAAATGATCTGGTTAAGGTTTGAAAAGTAATGTTAGGACATTTGGTGTTTAATTATAGAATTAAAGGATGTTCTGGTTTAAATAAAGACCAAAACAATGTCAAAATCTCATCAGTGATAGGGAAGATGGACTTTCCTAGCATGTACAATATAAGAACAAAAGGGACAAGATGATGATAAATATGGAGGAAAGAAAATGAGGAAACAACTTAAGATGGATAAGTGATACTAAGGAAAGAAACACCTTAAAACCAGTGTCTATCCATTCTTTTCTAATGTTCTCCATTCATTCTGATCAATTTACCATTCTTTGCCTAACCCACTCTGCATAGGCCTCCTTCACTATTATTCCACTGAATCTACCAGAATTACGATCATATTTATCTCTTCAGGCTAAAATCAGTAGTTACTTTGTAGACTTCATTTTTTATTTTTTATTTTATTTTATTTTATTTTAAAGATTTTATTTATTTATTTGAGACAGAGAGAATGAGAGAGAGAGAGCACATGAGAGGGGGGAGGGTCAGAGGCAGAAGCAGGTTCCCTGCCGAGCAGGGAGCCCGATGCGGAACTCGATCCCAGGACTCCAGGATCATGACCTGAGCCGAAGGCAGTCGCTTAACCAACTGAGCCACCCAGGCGCCCTAGACTTCATTTTTTAAAAAAAAGATTTATTTATTTACTTGACAGAGATTGAGAGAGAGAGAGTGAGAGAGCATACTCGAGAAGAGGGGCAGAGGGAGGGGAGACACCCAAAACCCCCGCTGAGTGGGGATCCTGCTGCAGGGCTTGATCCCAGAACTCCAAGATCATGACCTGAGCTGAAATCAAGAGTGGGACACTTAACTGACTGAGCCACCAGGCACCTCCTAGATTTCATTTAAGTCTACTTATCAGCATCATTTGACACAGTTTACTACTCCTTCCTTCTGAAAATACATCCTTCTCTTTACTTCCATGATGGCACACTTCTGAATATTTTTCTATTTTTTCAGGATGCTTTTTCTCAGTATTCTTTGGTATCTCTTTGTTCAACCATCAAATACTGGAATGCACAATGCAGTCCTGGGCCTCTTCCTTCCTCTGTCTACAATCATCTAACCATCTCCCCAGTGATCTCACTCATTGACAAGTGCATGTGTGTGCGTGTGTGTGTATAATTGCCAGATTTAGGTCTCTGATTCATATTTGTTATTGTTGATATGACTACTTGTTGAAAAAGTCAAATAAATTCTCAAACATGTTTCTTAACATGACATAAAGCTCCCACGAGGCTGAATTCCTATAAACCCATCCCCCCCTGAATCTTTCTCATTTTAGTAAAGGTTACCACAAGCCTCCCATTTACTCAATTTAAGAAACCTAGAATCTTTTTTTTTTACTAGCCTTCTCCCCCTGCCCAACTAAAACATCACTTCCCTCCTCATCCAGGTCCTCATCTTCTTCTTCTTTTTGCCTTTCAGACATTTTCCTGCGCTTATTGTTACTCATTGATGATCCACTTGCTAAACAGCAGCCAGATAATTTTCTAAAAACAAAAATCAGATCATGTCACTTCTTATATAAAAACTTACAAGTCCTTTCCAATGCACCAAGAATAATATCCAATCAGAATGACACAAAACAATTACTAATAAAATAAAGGGCAAACAAAACCAAAGGAGCCAGAATAGGAATATAAATTTCAAGCAAAGTAAAATCAAGATAATCAAATCAGTGACCAAAAGTTATTTTTAAAGTGATAAAATAAAATATATAATGAAAGTTATAAAATTCATAAGCATTTATGTACAAAGAGTATAATGAACATATGTAATGGTAATAGCTATAATTTGAATGCTTAACATATGTTAGGCATTATGGAAACTTCATTATTTTATTTAATTTTCAGAAAACATTATCGAAGAGTGGCTCAGTCATTAAGCGGCTGCCTTCGGCTCAGGTCATGATCCCAGGGTCCTGGGATTGAGCCCCGCATCGGGCTCCCTGCTCCACGGGAAGCCTGCTTCTCCCTCTCCCACTCTCCCTGCCTGTGTTCCCTCTCTATCAAATAAATAAATAAAATCTTTAAAAAAAAAAAAAGAAAACATTATCGAGGCCCATTCACTGGTTAAGGAACCGAGGACCCTAGTTACATAGGTCACAAGGGATGGAGTAATAGTACAAAGTAAGTTCTGGGTGTTTCCACAGATTATGCCTATTATACCAAACAACACAATGATACTAAAAAATAGAGGATAAATTGAACACAACTATGGTGAGAAACTTCAACTCTGTTTTGATAACTTTGACAGATCAAGTAGATAAAAACAAAGAAATTTGGATTATATAATTGCTATGGGAAGACTTTGGGACAACCTCCCAAATAGGACCTGATTTTGTTTCCTTTTTGTAGGGAGGAAATGGAGTTAATAGGTTGAAGGTATTATTTTTAAAGAAAATACATCAAGGCCTTACGTATCCAGTCTAGGAAATAAGTTGTGTGTTTTAGTGAAAGCAGTCTCCTTTAGAGAAGGAGACTTAAGTGGTTTCTGAAAGTCTTTCCATAAGGATTTTTGTTTGTTTTATAATTATGTTTCTAAAAGTCCTTTTTTTAAAAAATTTTATTTATTTATTTGAGAGAGAGAGCATGAGCAGGGAGGAGAGGGAGAAGGAGGCTCCCCGAGAGCAGAGAGCCTGACATGGGGCTCGATCCCAGGACCCTGAGATCACGACCCCAGCTGAAGGCAGATGTCCAACCAACTGAGCCACCCAGGTGCCCCTAAAAGTTCTTTATTAAGTGTCCTTCATTGGAGACTTATGCCAACTCATTATGTATGTATACACGTAAGATTGTGTATATATACAGATATATATTTATATATGTGAAACATGTTATATAGATTGTTAGAATGTTTTATTTCATGATACTGGCTGCCATAGCTGGTAACACCCTCAGATTTCCACCCTCTCTTTTGAATATTCTCATTTTGCACTAGTTCAGGAGCCTGAATATTTTTATATGGTTGAAGATGAGGTATGGTGTAGATATTATCTATTAATGTAATTTACCAGGTAAAAGGTAAGGCTGGTTCTCTTTAACAACTTAAATTTCCAATGTCTTACAATTTAAGGCTTCTTTTTTATGGATACAGCTACTTCACACGAAAACGAAAATGGGAACCACAAAGACAGTGAGGTGGACCCAAATGTGTAACAGACATTAATATGTAACAAGTACAGTCAGGGGCAAGACTCAGGTTGAGAGGTAGGTAGCAGATGTAAGCGACTCCAGGGGTCATAACCTTTTTGGTAATCAAGAGAAGTGTATCAGTCTGAAAGTTTGTGGTGGGTTTACCTCTAACCTAGAGCAGGCAGGTTTGTAGAAGTTCCCTTTGCCTTTGTGTTGGCTGTCTTTGTTCCTGATCTTAAGATGCAGTCCACCTTTCTAAGGGTTGTTTCGTTTCATGACAAAAAGATGTTAATCCTTTGGGTAAGTAAGAATTCCTTCCCAGATGTGTGGTTTACAGCATCCTATCTTGGATTTTTGCATAAAGATGTTGGAGGGGTAAATGTATGAATACAGAAGTGAAATCTATCCAAAATTCATGGATTGAAAATAAACTTTGACTTTTTTTTTTTAATTTGAGAGAGAGTGTGCACGAGTGGGGGGGAGGGGCAGGGGCAGGGGGAGAGGGAGAAGCAGACTCCTCACTGAGCAGGGAGCCCAACCCCAGGCTAGATCCCAGGACCCTGAGATCATGACCTGAGCTGAAGGCAGACACTTAACAGACTGAGCCAATCAGGCGTCCCTAAACTTTGACTTTTTTTTTTTAACGTTTTATTTTGTTTTTTAATAATTTTTTTTAAGGATTTTTATTTATTTATTGAGAGAGAGAGAATGATAGAGAGCATGAGAGGGAGGAGGGTCAGAGGGAGAAGCAGGCTCCCTGCTGAGCAGGGAGCCCGATGCGGGACTCGATCCCAGGACTCCAGGATCATGACCTGAGCCGAAGGCAGTCGCTCAACCAACTGAGCCACCCAGGCGCCCAAACTTTTGACTTTCTTTTTGCTGGTCCCGTCCAAGTTGAATTGAGTTAAACTGCCAAAACTGAAATTAATATTAACCATAAATTTAGCATATATTTTCTTTATTCCAGAGCCTATCACCTTAGGACCAGAGTAAGAACTTTAAACTTGTCAATTGTAAATTAGATATTTTAGAGATATAGTTGATTAACCCATTTCTCTCACCCTCCCTAAGAAAACAATGAGGAAAAATATCTAGATATGTTTTTATTTAAACGTGGGACAGGCTTGTAATGGTAATTAATTAATTGTTACTTTTACTCTCCACCTGTCCTTCATTATTCTAAGATGCAGCTTGATTATAAAAATTTATTAGCTAATCTTCTGAGATCAGATAAGATCAGGTATGTTCAGGGTGGTATGGCTGTAGACTAGCTAATCTTGATATCCAATATTCCCTGGCTTCTTCCTGTTTACCAATCACAGATGAGATGCTGGTCTAGACTTGTCTAAAGTAGTTTCTTATCAGGTGGGTAAACTTACTATATGAATTCCCTTCAGTCCAGAGAAATTGATCTCTATGTAAAACAAGTAAACGTTGCTCAATGATTAATCTCAAAAGAGCTAAGCCAACCACAGATGTGTGTTTTACTTTGTACCTTGCTTGGAAAGAAGAAACAACCACATAAAGCCCACAAACTCTAAGTAGTAATTTTACTACAAAGAATATGAATAGTTTGTTTTTCATATTAGTGCAAATAAATAATATAAAGAGATTCATAGGGATTTATTATTTCAGAAATAAACCAATTCTTCTGTTTTCTATTTTTTTCTCTCATGATTATATGATCTATAAACAACAACAGATTCAATGTACTTTTCTGCTCTTTAAAAAAAGATATTGAAAAAGATATTGATAATCTCAATCTTGTTTTCTAAATTAGAAATCCTTGACAAATTTTTAAGGTTTGATATTTTTTTCTATTTATTCTTTAATCAAATTCTTGTCAATATTAATGTATACATTTATATATCCATCATCAATTAATCAATTATCTTTAGTAGAAGATCTCCTAATTAATCTCTTAATTTAACAGGTGAATTAAGTTTTCCATATAGCATGCTGTCTAAGGCCCCTGGCATGCTGAAAGTTTATTGCTCATAGGGTATGCTCTGTATATACCAATAGTACTTGCTACTGCAATCACAAAAGTTTAGATAAATATAATATAAACTCATGACAAATGTATAGAAAAAGATCTTTAACTCAATGAAATAAAAATTGAATGCTTTGGAATGGTTTGATATATGTAAATGGCTAAAAATTTTGATGATTGTAAAGACTGGAATAAAAATTGGAAAGGTTTGACACTCATTTTGCTTTACAAGTATCTTCATATTCTGTTTTTACCTTAAAGACACTGAAGCTGAAAACTGGAGATGATGCATTAGAGATAGTTTATGTGAATGGTCAACAATCTAATTCATCTTTGGCCAATATCAAATTGGTGGATGGATGTTTCTGTTTTAAGTCTAAATATTATGTACAATGTTTTTCATATATTTAATATATTTATGTTTTTGTATCCTATATTTTTAGGACTTGCTACTGAATTAACTCTTTTGACTAACCAACACGGTATGTCTTTTGTGCAATAGGACTTACAATTTTTATAATTTATCTATTTGTAGGTTTTTTCCATATAGAGTTAAGGTGCATGATCAAAGCCATCATCAGGGTATTATATATAATGATACCACACATTATAACAATATATTCAGTTTATTATAGAATTCTTTTAAGTATAGTTATATGAATAATAATACTCACTTAATTTTAATTTAATTTAATTTTAATTCTAGAATTTCTATTCTTTATCATGAGAGAAGTGGAAATATTCTTAACCAGATGTAGGTTAAGTAAAAAGTTTGTCCTTTCTCCTCGTAGTAAAGTTCTAGGGATCCATTTCTTTCTTGCTTTTTTTTTTTTTTTTTAAAGATTTTATTTGTTTGACAGAGAGAGAGGGAACACAAGCAGGGGGAGTGGGAGAGGAAACACAAGCAGGGGGATTGGGAGAGGGAGAAGTAGGCTTCCTGCTGAGCAGAGAGCCTGACGCGGGGCTTGATCCCAGGAGCCCGGGATCATGACCCGAGCCGAAGGCAGACAGTTAACAACTGAGCCACCCAAGCGCCCCTCTAGGGATCCATTTCTTATGTCTCTTGTTATATTAGACCATGGGCTGATTGGATACCGTTTTTATATCAACATTACCCTTAACAGTAAAAGAAGTTAGGTTTCCTTGTCTGAAATCACTTACAATTTAGAGTTTAAATTTGAGTCTAAATCAACAGCATTTTTAAGGCATTTTTCTGCTTTCCAAATTGCCCAAAATATCTGTTAATTATCACTTGGTCTTTCTGCTTTTGTCTTTGGGCTACCATTTTTCTTTATCCCTTGACTGGACTGTGTTCTGATCTGCATTTCTTCATTTGGGCAAAAGCATGCTGCAGCTCTCTTACACCAACTCCTTCTAATCTGTGCATTGTTTGGTCAATTAGTTCTATTGTCCAAGAATAGTCAGATTTTCATTTCATTCATTTTGTGGGTACAGAATGACTTTTGATTTAAATCAGAGGTATATAAAATGATTGTCAGACAGTCATAGAAAGGTATGCTCTGCATTATAGAATTAAACATGCCCTCTGGCCATAGCATCTTGAAGTTTTACTATTTAATCTTTCATGCTCACTGTTGTGTAGACCATAAGAACACTCCCAAATTTTCACTTTCAGTGGCTGGTAAGCTTAGATAGTTTAAAATTTATATTAAATTTCATCTATCTTATCTTTTAAATTTATATCTGTATGTTTATAGCCATTATTGGTCTTTTATAAATATACATGTTCATATATATGTATATACATATATGTGTATATATATGTTTGTGTCTTTATATATTCCCTATATGTAGCATGGCAGGTATATGACAAATTGGCCACTTCCCACAGAAAGCAAAATCAGTAGTTTGATAAACAAAGGATAACATGTATTTTTCCTCTAAACATGATCTGAATTTGTAATTTTATAGAGACATCAAAATGAGCAACAACTCCTGAATGTATTATGAAATTCTCATTATGGTCCTAGAAAAAAAGTTCTGTGTATGTGCAAATGATATTTTATCATAATAGAGCAATATTCATGTAGTTCATCAGTCTGTGGTGGCAGTTTTCAGCCTGTCTTCCTTTGCTACTGGTTTTATTTTTAGTTTTTCTTTGGAGACAGACAGAAGCAGATATGTAAGTCCTCAGAATGACAATACCTTTCTTCTATAAAGCTCAAACAAAATCACACAATCATGAATCTCAAAACAATCCCAGATTAAACCTAGGGATTTACTATAAAGAGAACTACTTTAAGAAGAATTCTAATAAAATTCTTAGAAAAACTTATCTGAGAAAGATCAAGCTATTTTCTATTTGTTTAAAATTTTTTCTACCTCTTTTAAATTATTTTAAAAGGTCTTGTAACTTCTTAATATATAACAATAAATTTCTGCATTAACTTCTTTATATCTGATACAATGCTTGGGGTACACTTACCCTCCTGAAAACTTGCAGTATGACACAAACTTAAGAGGTTTTTGATGTTTACCTCTAGAGGATTTGTTCGTGAAAGAGTAATATGAAGTTTCTGTTAAGAAAGATAAACTTTTATTGTCAGTATTATTATTACTAGGAGAAATTTATGGTTAGCTATTTCTGAATGGGAAATGGTGCAAGTTTTAAATCAGCTTCCAGCTATTTCTTGCTTCTGATACCATGAATGCTTCTACATTACAGTTTCAGAATGATATACGTAAAATGAATATTACTGTTTAGCCTCAGCTTCAGGTCCAAATCCCTACCAAAATTCATCCCCTCCCCTATATATCTTAAAAGCTGTCAAACTAAGGCTTTTTATTCCCTGGCTCCATCTGGTCCTGCTTGACATTCCAAGGGCAAGGGTGCTTTCCAAAACTGATGTGGAAGAAATAACCCTTCTTCAACAGCCCCTGACCTGGTTTTCTCTACTTCAGTGTGTACCTCTTGAGACTGACTTTTCTTTCACAGTCTTTTATGCTGGATTCTATTTTGATTATTAAATGTTAGAATGTTACCCTCTGTCATTGAGCCCTCTTCTGCCTATATACTCTCTCTAGGTGGCTTCATGGTTTCATAGGTATAAATAAAATCTATGTGTTGATAATTCTTAAGTCTACAATTATATTCCTTACCTTCCCAGGAACTCTGGATTCACATATTCTGCGTACTACTTGATATATCCCCATGTGTAACCACTAGGCACCTCAAACTTAACGTGATCCAAATAGAAATCCTGATTTTCATTACAAGTCTGCTTTTCTCGTACTCTTGCCCATTTCAGTAAATGACACTACCATCCACTCATTTGTTAAAGCCAAATTTCTACAGCTGGGCTAACCAATATGGTAGCCACCACTTGCATGTGGTTATTTAGTAAAACTAAAAATTCCATTTCAGTTATATTAGTGACATTTTAAGTATTCAACAGTCACATATCTAATGGCTACCACAGTAGACAGTACAGATATAAAACATTTCTTTTACTTCAGAACATTTTATTTAACAGTACTGGTCTAAAGTCATCATTTCTATCTGTCTCTCCCTCACCATACATCTCGGGTCCTATCTGCTCAATCAAAATAATGTCCTCTACTCAAGAAACAAAAGGGTATCTAAATTCATTTATAATTATCCCAAATTTGTCCAGTTGATTTTTATCTCTCGAATTACCACATTGGTCAGAGCTGTCATAACTGCCTCCTGCAGCAGTCTTCCAACCTGTCTCCCAGGTTGTCCCTATCAACTGCTTCTTCACAGAGCAGCCAACAGGATCTATTTAAAACATAAATTAGGTTATGTTATCCTCTTGCTTTCAACCCAAATCCTTTGATGATTCCCATTGTTCAAAGAACAAAATCCAAACTTCTTATCCTGATGTACAAGTTCATTATGACCTGGCTTCACACTTATGTATTGTATTTTTCTCTATTGCTCTAATAAGAATTTAATTTCTTTGAGAACCAGAGTATTTCTTACCTGTTTTACCACTTTATCTCTAGTTTCAAAGTTGCGCCTGGCACACAGTGAAGGATTAAAACATATTTTCTACATGAATTGATGTAAAATGAAAGAACTATGAAAAGATAATTTTGACTTTCAAGATATTCCCATCTTTTTTGATTTTATATATGATCCATGAAATTAAAATGAGATGTGAACAAGAGTGTGGATTTTTAATCTCCCCATTTATGATTAGAAGATGTAGTAATAGTTGATACAATCGAAATGAGACTTTTGGAAAAATTCGTTTATTAATTCACTGAAAATTTCCTGAGCCACAGGGCACTGTGCTAGTTTTCCCCTGGGGGGGAAAAATGCTCCTAAGATTCACCATACCATTAATGAAAACCATGCTTAGTATGTTTTTTATTTATAAATCTATAATTTGACAAAACATAAAAGGAACTACAAAATTGATAGAAAGTCCTGAGTGATGAAATTCAATATTATTTCATTTTTAATTTTGAAAAACACGTAATTTATACTTATTGAACATAAAAATTAGTAAATATAAAATTTAGGTTTATGCCTTAATGCAATGTATATTCTTAATAACTTTTTATGTTTTACTCTTAATTATAAAATTTATATAAAATGTTGGAAATGCATAATTTTTCTTTTAGTGTTTCCATTTTAAATATTTCAGCTGCTCTTTTCTAGCCTTTCTTCATCAAAATTTTGAAACACACTGTATTCACATTTTATAAAACGGATGAAATAAAAATAAAGTCACTGAAGGATATAAAAGTATCTTAATCTCTGTTCTTGGGAAATAAATTTTAACTTTGGGGGCATCATCTTTAGATCATTTAGATTTCTTGCTATATGGTCCTCTGACTACCAACATCAGAATCAACTGGGTGTTTGTGAAAATGGAGATTCCCGAAAGTCATACACATAAAATTAAATGGGGGCATAGATGGAGCATAGAAATTCACCTTAAAACAACAGCAACAACTCATGGTGATTCACTTTAAATTTTCTAAAGTTTGAGAATGAATAATCGGTGTTTGTAATGAAGTTCAATGGAATCATCCAAAGCAGACTTTAATGGCTTTGTGTAAATAGCCCTACACTGTTATAGTTTGATTAAAAAGAATAGGAGCTGTTTTATCTGAAAAGTATGCAATATTATGTGACAGGGTGCCCTCTCTTAACCTCAAAGGCTCTACTCTTACATGCTCATCTTTGTACTTGGAAGTCTTTTATTATCAAGCTTTTAGGCTTAATAAAATCAAGTTTGGGTTAAAATTAAAATGCCTATTTAAGAAAATATAATTTATAGCTATTACTAATTCATCATGAATCCTTTTATTAGACTAATTTCAGGAACATAGCAGGACCCGAATGACTGAAACAGAAATTTGTGGAAAGAATTGAGAGCACAAGGAAATTTGGCTAAGCACAGTCTGAGTAATCAATCAATTCAATTCACAAATGAATCCTGGTAATTGTGTTAGATGTAATGGGAAAGCACAGAGATAACTTTATCTCCCACCAAGGGACTTAAAATACATGGAAGAGGTAAGTTATGTGCCCAAATATTCAATCACATTAAGTAAAAACTGCTACAAGAAATGTATGAAGAGTACAAAGGAGGCAGTGATTCCTAAGGTGAGGAAATATGCCTCACAAAGTTCCTTGCAGGAACTACTATTTATTTATTTATTTATTTATTTATTTATTTATTTATTTATTTATTTATTTATTTTTAAATTTTATTTATTTATTTGACAGAGCAGGAACACAAGCAGGGGAGTGGGAGAGGGAGAAGCAGGCTCCCCGCTGAGCAGGGAGCCCGATGCGGGACTCGATCCCAGGACCCTGGGATCATGACCCGAGCCGAAGGCAGACGCTTAACGACTGAGCCACTCAGGCGCCCCAGGAATTACTATTTAATCTTCACCTTTAAAGTAGAAAGAATTTGTGTATAAGTAAACTCCAGAGGAACCTAATACCACTGGGTATGGATGTTATAGTTGCTGAGTATCCACTAAGGGAGAGCAAAGGCCTAGAATAAAGAATACAATAAATACTGATGACAGAATACACTCTTTCATATTGAGGTTTAAAGAAAATTCAAATATGACATGAGTATGACATGAGGCCTTTTCTTATTTACCATTAAGATAATAGAAACCTATGGTTCCAGTCTAGTCAAAAGCTCTACCATAGAGTAACTGAACTCAGGCAGCTACTACCACAGTAGGTAGGCATTAAAAGTTGATAGTACTTCCTTCCACATTGCACATCCTAAAATGTTATTATTTTGGCTTCTTTACTAAAAATAATGCCCTTTCTAGAGCCTGACCATTATAGATATTAGGTATTAGAACCTGGCACTTATGCCAGAAAGAATATTCAAATAGCCCATGACAATATAACAATCACAGGGACATTTCCAAAGAAATTCCCATACTATTCACCAATGCCAATGACAAAATAGAAAATTAAAAACTCCAGCTGTTGTACATCTACCCTTTGTGAAATGAGAGCATGCAGAGGTTGTTAGAATAATCACCAAGCATACTTTTGAAAAATTTTCTCCAGGATTAGAATAATCAATAAAATCTGCGTAGAAGATGAGACTGGAACCTAATCTAATCTTTTCTTTTTAAAGGATTTTATTTATTTGAGAGAGAGAGAGAGTGTGTGTGTGTACAAGCAGGGAGAGGGGTACAGAGAGAAGCAGGCTCCCCGTGGAGCAGGGAACCTGACGCTGCTCGATCCTGATACTGGTCCTGGGATCATGACCCGAGCCCAAGGCAGACACTTAACTGACTGAGCCACCCAGGCACCCCAGGAACCTAATCTAAAGCTGTTTTTATTTTCTTATCTAAAAATGAACAAAACTAACTCTTCGGAGTTGAGACTGGAAATATACAAGTTTATAGAGAGAATTCAGAAAATATTTAAGAGTAGCAAAGCACAGAAAAAAGTTAATTAATACAGTAATTTGCCCTTCCCTGAGGAATCAGATACTCAGTGATTTTAATTTAAAATGTATTACTTATATAGGTTGCTTATACTAAAAAATTTCATTTGTATAGTATGAAAAATCAGATAAACATTGTACATAAGCAATCATTAAGTGACATTACAAATATAAACACATTCAGAAGACTGACTTTGTAGGAAATGCCGTGTAAAGAAGGAAATGGGAAATCTATTTCATGACTTGGAAAAAATGCAAGAGACAGTAGTTTATGATGTCAGAAATGCAAAAAGAAAGAAAAAAGGAAAAAATAAACAGCATCAACACTGGAGTAAATACACTAATTCTGAGGCAGAGGGAGAGGGTAACAAAATGGCCCCACAATGTGAAACATCTGGTCATTGAATCAAAAATGGACTTGAATTGGAAACAGACAGATGGCATAAACACTATTATCACAAAGAAAGCTGTTGCTTAGAATAGAGATCTAGGATATTGACTTTGGCAGTAGGTCTTTACTTTGCATTGCCAATGTTATTCAAACTGAATGGAAAATCAGGGAAGGTAGATCTCCTTGCTTCACATTTCTTCAGGCCCATTCTTGCTCTTTTAGATAGATAATCACCTACTCTCATGTAATTAAACAAATAGGTAAACCATCTCTGTTTTTGACACTATGCACACATACATATGGTAAAAGAAAGGGCTCTCATCCAAGCATTTAGCTTTCTTTTGGCAATATTAGCTCAAAATAAGTTTCTAAGTATTTTTATTATAAAGAGGCTAAAAATTTATCATTCTTAAAGTTGAAAGTAAGGATTCAGGAATAATTATCTAAATCATTTTTTTTAATAGTGCATATCAAAACACGGTAAGAAATTCAAACACAGTGAGATAACCAGGTGATAGAAATATTCTCATCTACCTTTGGTTTATCAGATGGGACTTACAGAGTTGTTAAAGATATTTAATCATTACATTCAAGTCTAATCTATAAATCCATTTTAAATAGGCTTTGTCACAGAGCATTTAGTAAAAAAGTGCCAGTGATAAGTGTTTTTAATAAAATTCTTTTCAGAAATATCTTATTTATGCACTGATTTTATCTTTTAGCTTTTTTGTACATGGAAGAAAGCATTATTCATTTAAATCAGTGCTCAGACTCCAATACTGATTTGTTTGAGAATCTGATGAAAATGAAGGGTATTCCTTCCTGAAGAATGCACATGCACACAGAATTTTTCAAATACTTTCAAGAAGTTTATCCTTTGAAATTCCATACTTGGGGTCCATGGATCTAGGGTAGAGAATCTCTGGTTTCAAACAAATTTAGAGATAATGTTAGCAATCCTTTATTTAACATTTATAAATATGGTAGATTTTGGGTGTAATGATAGAGCTCACTTTCCCAATTGCCTACTTAATTCACTGTTCATGTGTTTAAAATCCTTAATAGTTAATTATCTAACTTTCTTTTCTGTTTTAGTTGTCTATAAGTTCTACTTTATAATATATCAAAATAGGGGCACCTGGGTTGCTCAGATGGTTAAGCATCTGCCTTCGGCTCAGGTCATGATCCCAGGGTCCTGGGATCAAGTCCCGCACCTGCTTCTCCCTCTGCCTTTCTCTCTGTCTCTGTCTCTTATGAATAAATAAATAAAATATTAAATATATATATATAATATATCAAAATAGGTGAAATAGTTGAAAGGGATTAGGAGTACACTTACCATGACAAGCACTGAAATGTATAGAATTGTCTAATTACTATATTGTACACCTGAAACATATATAACACTGTTAACTATGCTAGAATTAAAAATTTTTTTAAATCACAAGAGGTTAAGAATTCTAACAAGCTGAGTCTTAAATATTACCTTGATAGAATTATAATCCAATGAATGTAGAAAACAAACAAACTTGGTGGACAAAGATATTTTAATCTGTTATGACCCTGCTTATTATCATACTTTTTCAGTGCTTTTGGAAACATGCTTTTTCTAATGGTTTTACATTATGGGTACATCCTCATAATTCCATTGTTTATTTATGATTTCCTTCCTTTAAATTGAACCAAATTTTATTTCTTCCATTTGTAAATACAGAGCCTTTGAACTGTATCTTGATAAAAATAATAGGCAACACTTATTGGGCACTGTGTTAAGCCCCCTACAAAAATAACTTCAACTGAATTCTCACAACAATCTAGGAGGTAATGAGGATGATTAAAAACAACAACAAAATAATAAAATAAAATTTGCCTCCCTATAATTTCCATTAATTACTCCCAATTCTGTTCTCTGGAATAATCTAGAACAACTCTATTTTGATAACAGATTTTTTTTTTTTAAGATTGTTTGAACATTAAAGAGGAGGAAGGAAACTTATAGATCATTTTAGATTAAATTTTTCAGTTTACAAGTGATAAAATTGAGACAAAAATAACTAAGACAAGATATGTATTACTTCTGTCAACAGCATTTTACCAGGATGCCCTATGTGCCATTAACCTTTCTTTAAAGCATGTTCTGTAGATGATTCCTTATCCATCCCTCCTCCCAATTGCTCTTTTCAAGGCTCTTCATTAGTGTGGCACCAGGAATCTGTCATAAGGCTTCACTTGGGGCTTGAACAGCAAGTAGTAGAATTTGTGCTTGCTTTGAAATGACCAGTTTTATTCAACAATTTTTTTTAAAAAATCTTTTAAGCAGCTGTATTTTGAGGATTTTTACAGGAATACCTGTCAATTGATCAGTTTTGTATATTTAGTTTTCCCGTTAATGGAATTTGTAAAATGTCAGACAGACCTAAAAAAGATTGAGTAAGAAAAATTAGAAAAATAAAACCACTCAATAATAGTTGGTCATATTTATTGAACACTCACAGTGTTTCGGGAACAGGATTGATCGCATTAAATGAACTATCTCATGAAATCTTCCCAGACACCTCATGCACTAGATACTATTTAGTACTATTATTAATGACATTTTATAGGTAAGGAAACTTAGGTCCAGACATATGAAAGCCACATAGTTTTAAGTGCGAGAACTAAGATTTAATCTCAGAAAACTCTCTGGGACTCCTAAATTTAGCCACTACATTATAGTACCTCATTCAATTGATGATAATAGGATAGGTATGTCAGTTCTTCAATATTTTATTATGAAATTAAAACTTAAAAATTTAAAGTACAGAAACATATGAGGCAAAAACTATGTCCACCTTCCAGATATTAACCACAATTAACTTAGTAATATTTTTCCAGGTTTTTCTAGATAAAATAAATTATAAATTTTGGGTGGTGTCAGAAAATGGTAATGGGTTAAAAGCTGAAGTTCAAAGATAATCATTTCTGCCATTAAGAAAGATATTTTCCGGGTGCCTGGGTGGCTCAGTTGTTAAGCATCTGCCTTCGGCTCAGGTCATGATCCCAGGGTCCTGGGATCGAGTCCCACATCTGGCTCCCTGCTCGGCAGGAAGCCTGCTTCTCCCTCTCCCACTGCTCCTGCTTGTGTTCCTGCTCTTGCTATCTCTGTCTCTGTCAAATAAATAAATAAAATCTTTAAAAAAAAAAGATATTTTCCTTTTGTGAAATATTTTAGAAGAGTAGGTTACATATAACTGGATTAACAGCTGCATTTCCACTGTTTATACAAGGTAATAAAATTGATTAGCCAATGCGATATTATAAAATTTCATAATCCACACATCTCCTAATATTTTTTAACTCTGAGTAGATTATTATGTTACATGAGCCACAAACTATAAAGGCTGAACATCCCGCAAACTGCATTTTACTGCTTTAATCAAATAAAATGCACATAAATTAATCTAGCATCTATTTAATGATATGCATAATTGCTGTTGTGCTACATGGTAATTAAACCTGAATGGACAACAGATGATTATAATTTTACATAGTCAAGCTAAAATTCTATAGCTTTTATTATTTCTTCAGTATTTTTATGACTGGTAGTACTGACAATTTTATCTGATGTCACGTAAAACTTAATCCTCATTAGTCACACATATACATTCTGACCCCATAGCTACTCTCCCGCTCCCAGCACCAAGGTCTTAATCTGACTCCTCCATTGTTAAGAGTTCTATTAATCCAAGTCTCTCCTCTCTTCTGTCTCTGTAGCTACACACCAAGATTAAGACCTTAAGACCTGTTTCTCTTCTCTGCAATCTCCCCCCCAACCTAAGAACTAAATAAAATAAAATTTTGAAAAAAATGGCTATGGAATAAGGCATTATCTGGCTTTGAATTTAATCTCTGCTTACTTCCTTTTGAATGAAATTGAACAATACATCTAAGCTCCTGAAACTCAGTTTATCTGTAAAATATGGGATAAGACTAGTACCTACTTGACAGAAGTATTGTGTGAATTACATAGCCAATGGATGTAAAGAATTTGGCCCAGGCTGTGACATACAGTTATTGCTCAATAATTTGTAACTGATGGTATTATCCTTGCCTCAGCCTAATTCCCTCTTTAGCTATCACAGGTCCAGAGAGCTAGAGGCTCTGTGGATCTGATGCTTGGGTAACTGGCTTGCTTGGCTAGGCTGACCCAGGATTGTGGCAATCCCCACAGACTCTCAGAATGTGGTCTGGGTACTTAGACTTGTGGCTAAGGGAAGTTATAGGGGAGCAAAGGTAACTGTTCACATAAGGAGAAGGAAGGCTGGTGAAGGAAAGTTGGAGGTTCTAAAAAGCAATGTCACCAATTAACTAGAAAGGTTGGTTAGAGTTGATTAAGTTACAGGCAAGCATGTGGGTGACTGCATATACAGTCCAGCTTCCAACAACTCATAGAAATAATACCATGGTAACTGCAGCTAGATTATTTCCAGAATCATTAACTTTATTACAAAAATGCTCCTCTAAAATAAATAAATTAGTTTTAGACTTCAAATAAGCCACAGTAGTGGTCATAATATTTCAAGGACAAGAAAAAATTACTACCTACTTGGGTCTCTGAAGGAAAGAAAATGTTCATCCTGTAATACTTTTATGCCAAGGCATAGCATACAAATGGCCAGGATTGAGGATACAATGAAACTCATTCACACTTAAATATATTTAATAAATTCGGAGACATAATGAGTTAAGCTATTTCTCACTTTCACTAGGGGTAAAGGATTAGAAAGCAGAGTGGCCCTGTAGATGTCCTGCCTTGGGTGTGAAGGGTAGATATCATTGAAGAGAGGGGAACAGGTGCAAAGATGGAATACTGGCACTCTGAAAAGTGACTTTGAAGGTGTCCAGATTTTTCCCAGGCTCTGCTTCTTATCTTAAAGGCAAATAAAATTAAGAGTTATGTTTTCCTGTCCATGATGTAGTTTAGGAAAACACTGTTCATTATAATGCTGTAGTGGAGAAATAATATAGAGAGTTGGAGGTGGTAACGATAGTGATAATATTTATCTGGATTTTACAATGCTCTAGGTACAGGGAAATTCTGACCCATGATTAGCAGAAATAAACAAACAGACAATGCAAGAAGGTTTTATAACTTTACCTGTTTTCCCACAAGTCAGTAAAGCACAATAACAAAGTACATTTTAATTATCAAGACACGATAGACTGTAACTAAATTCTGTATTAAAAAGTTATTGGTTATAAATCAATATAATTGAAACCATACGTGTGCTAATTCCTAACTGATGATTGAATGCATTTGTTGTCAGAGAGCCCAAGCAGAATAATTACATCCTGTCACTCCAGCTCTCAGGAAATTGAGGGCCCCTATCAAGGGAGAAAGTTCTAATTCAGGGATTTTCTAAGTTCTACGATCAAATTTCTGAGAGCACAATTGGGAATGTATTCTAGGTGCATATGGATTTTCTTATTAATTCTAACTGAAAAGTAACAACCCATATTTAGTCAACTGGAGCCAGATCATTTCATTGGAAATACGGCCTTCATTATGATATCAAATTGTTTTGGCTTAGATGGTCTTGAAATATTAGATCTCTTTTATTTGGTGGGATAACATCAACTGAATATAAATAAGTTATTTTAGGAATAATAGACTTCAAATATATTTACTTATCAAATCTAGAATCACAGATATGGCATTTACTCAGTCTACTAAATGCCATTTATGATAATATTCTTCAGTTATGGTTTTGGTATGAAGAATATGCTTGTATAAAAAAATACTGGACCAGGAAATCCAATTAAAATTACTACTAAAATCATAATTGGATCTACACATCCATTAATTCATTACTTCATTTCAAAAATAATTAGTGGCTATATTCCAGGCTTATTTTAGCAGTGATACAAAGTTGCATAAAATATGGAATCCATTTTTTTTTTAAAGATTTGTTTATTTTAGAGAGAGAGAGCACACAAGCAGGGGGAGGGGCAGAAGGAGAGAGAGACAATCTCAAGCAGGCGCAGGAGCCTGACAGCAGAGGCTGATCTCACCACTGTGAGATCATGACCTAAGCCAAAATCAAGAGTTGGTTGCTCAACCGACTGAGCCAGTCAGGCACCCCTGGAATCCATTTTTAAGGAGCTCATAGTCTACGTGGTGAAAATGGATGGGCAAATACTCCCTATGAAATATGGTAAACACATCATGATATGTATGGGTAAGGTATAACAATGGATAAGAAGAGTTAGTAATGAATTAATCAGAAGAGAGGTTGGACAGGTGAGGGAAACTTCAACAGACAAAGTGGCATAAACATTTCAGGTATACAAAGTACCTAATGGAGAACCCAACACCTATGCACTTAGTGCATCCTAGTGAAATATAGCAGCAACACCAGTAAGTAGTAACAACAAAATGCAATGGTAGAGTGGAAAGGGAAATACTAAAAGACATGCATCTAGAAAAGTAAGCAGTGTGTGTACCAGAGCATGCCAGAAAGTGCAGTGCAAATTTAGAAGTGGGGAGCCTTTGAAATAATTTAAGCAGGCAAGTAACATAATA